TGATTGATTGATTGATTGATTGATTGATTGATTGATTGATTGATTGATTGATTGATTGATTGATTGATTGATTGATTGATTGATTGATTGATTGATTGATTGATTGATTGATTGATTGATTGATTTGGTATGTTTATTACGGCAGAGGCATTGTCTTTATCATATTTTTGATGTGAAGAATATTACACATGAATTAATTAATTAGTAAATAATTAAATATTTAATTTAATTTAATTAACTAATAAACATTTAATTAAAATATATAAATCATTATAATGTATAAATCTCAATTTCCAAAAATGGACCCTTATGACTGGTTTTGTGGTCCAGGGTCTTAATTGTGGACCCTGTGCTGGTGATTCTGAAGGTAAATGGGATATCCGCTCATAGCGTTGTCTGAGTGATTCAGTCGATTGGTGAAGACATCAGCAGACGAGGCTAAAGCAGAACCTGACTATTCCCTTCCCAAATCCACAGTGATTTATTGACTGGCGTCTTTTGAAAAGCAGCCCTGTGTTCAGGAGCAGAAAGCAGTTTGCTGCAGGTAACGAGTCGACGGTGGTTTGATAATTAGGATGTTTGCCGACACGTGACTGTGGCTTTAATCAATACCGCGGCGTTCTGGCATTGATTTCTGTCATTCTCATTTCCTCACGTCCTGGAGACGTTTGCGTTTGAGTTTCAGAGCATCGTTTGGGAAATGTCCCACCGGCGGCAGTCAAACGCACTTGTCCGTGTGGACTCAGAGGCCTGGGATCCGGGATTTGCAGTGTAATCCTCATTGTGCTGCATAATTTACTCTAATCTCAAACAAATCCCCTCCATCCCGTGCTGAAACCTGATTAAATTCAGCGCTCGACCTCAGCTGACCCGCGCAAACAGGTAGCGTTTGTTTGCCGGACGGATTCTCTGAGGACGGATGGATTCTGTGCAGATTTGCTTCAATCCTCTTAAACTCTGAGGAATAATTCATCCATGTTGAGTTCAGCGTTTGGATGTGTATTTTCTTATGGGACGATCCTGCATCGTAACTGGCCGGACCTTGTGATCCCACTGGTTATTATGGGATGGAGTAGCTTTTAATGCGATGTCACGACAACATAACCGATCAGAACATTGAGCTGATACTTGATACGTGAGCTCACTGGAAGATCATAAATAATTTTAAGTTTTCCAGTTTTACATACTCTATAATGACAGCTGCTATTTTTTTTTTTATATGTGACCCTGGAACACAAAACCAGTCATAAGGGTAAATTTTTTTAAATTGAGATTTATACATCATCTGAAAGCTGAATAAATAAGCTTTCCATTGATGTATGGTTTGTTAGGATCGGACAATATTTGTGAGAGATGCAATTATTTGAAAATCTGGAATCTGAGAGTGAAAAAAAAATCTAAATATTGAGAAAATCATCTTTAAAGTTGTCCAAATGAAGTTCTTAGCAATGCATATTACTAATCAAAAACGAAGTTTTGATATATTTACGGTAGGAAATATACAAAATATCTTCATGGAACATGATCTTTACTTAATATCCTAATGATTTTTGGCATAAAAGAAAAATCAATAATTTTGACCCATACAATGTATTTTTGCCTATTTCTACAAATATACCCCAGCGACTTAACACTGCTTTTGTGCTGCAGGCTCACAAATATGTATTTTATATGTGATGTTAAATAATTATTTATTATACTATTATTTTTATTTTATTTTTTGCATATTTTATATTATTTATATATTTATTTTTTTATATATGTATGCATGATATATTACATAATTTTTTTTAAACATTTAAATTTTTTTTAATTTTATTTTTGCACATTTTAATTTTATAATAACATACATTTCTAAGGTTTATTATTACATATTTGAAATGCAAATTTCAGTCTATAGTTGTCTTGTAAGGTTATGGTTTGGTTTAATTATACTATATGCATTTTTTTAAAATGTTTGTCATATATGACATATTACAGAATGTTAACTTTTTTATTTTTTAGTTTAGCATATTTTACATTTGTTATATAATTATGTACATTTATCATGTTTTTTTTTTTGTGGATTTTCAATCTAAATTTCCAGGAAGTTTTCTTGTAAGGTTATGGTTTGGTTTGTTAAATAATTATTTACACATTTTTAGCTTATTTTATATTATAGAATTAAATATGGATATAGGTATAATGTTTATCACAAACTTCAAATTTAAAATTGCTGAAAATTATGTTGTATACTGTACACACACACACACACACACACACACATAGGCCTATATATGTATATTAAATGTTAAATTGCAGAGAGTTTTCTTGTCAGGTTCTGGATTGGTTTATTTATAATCAGCTTTAAACAGTGTGCTGGGATTCCTTATTTAGACAGCTAAGTAAAGGTGTGTGTGGATAATGAAATGGCAGTAAATACGTTCAGGCTGATTTTGCACATGGCTGCTTTTGTCCTCTAAATATTAGTCACAGTTTCACATACACACTGATACGCTTCATACAGAAACACATAAATACACACACACACACAGAGAGAGAGACACACACACACACACACACACACACACACAAAGACACACACACACACACACACACACACACACACACACCCCCACACACA